AAGCTCCCCCTTAAAATAACATTAAAATTTTGTATACACGCCATAAAAAAAACCACCAAAAAGGTATGTTTTTTCCATGACCCACTTTCCAAATCCAAACCCCCCCCCCCCGATGCCCCCTCCAGTGCAAAACGTCAAATGTGCACAAATTGTTTTGAAAATTTGACAGGGCTCAAATCCAAAAGCAACCTTGGGGGGGGGGGGCGGTCGCAAATAAGGGGAGGGAGCCACCCCCAATTATTACTGTATCCCCCATAATTTTCCCCATTTCCAACCCTGATTCTGCTGCACAATTGAACCCATTCCCCTTGAACTGATTAACCCAGGCATCAATTTAGCGGTCATTTGGGGAAGAGGCTGACAAGGACACCCCGAAGCTTTTTGCATGGATTGTGTGAGCCTCTCTGGGTTCTGTTTGTGGCTCCACGGATGTGGTCCTTGCTCTCTTTGCTTCTCTTGTGCACGCCTCTCTTTTTGTCTATCCGGCGTGAAGACAAACACCATTCCACGGAGCGACTGGGAGGATCTGCTGGGCGTTCATCATTTCGGCACCTTGTCACCCTGCATAAGTCCCCAGAAGGCAGGGCAGGGGCACCGTGGCTTCTCAGTCAGAGCCTTTTCATCTCGGTAACTGTTGAACCTGTGCTCAGACATGTGTAAACTTGCCAGGGACGGGGAGAGGAGAAGGAGAGCCCCAGAGAATGCAGTTACATTAAGACAGTTCGAACGGAACACAGCATGCTGAGAAAGAGGAGTGTGTTACTTCTTTCACAGGGGAGAGGCCCACCGTGTTAAACAACGGAGAGGCTGCGCACACGAGCAGAGATACAGAAAAAGCAGGCATTGGCCATCTCCCTTTCTCCCCACCCGATTGCAAAATACGAAAGGGAAGGTGGGGCGGGGGGGGGGAGAAAGCGAGCTATGGCTTGAAGCAAATCGTGCCAGGCGGAGGTTTGGGTAGAGCAGGAATTCCGAGTTTCTGCGTTGCGCACGCCACAGCGGTAGAAACCCTGGCCCTCCAACCCCGAAGCCCCAAACTTGCAGAGAACGGATCGCTAAAGGAGGTGATTTCATGCAGCCCCCAGAGACAGCCTTGTCCTTAGCGAGAGGAAGAAGGAAAGGGTGTTGCTGTTGTTTTGGCAAAAAGCCACCGCGAGGTTGTTAAAAGCCATCACGCTTCAGCAGGGGAGCTCCAGAGGTGGGCCCACGGAGAGAAAAGAAAACTACCACAGGATGCCAGGATGAGGGAGGGACAGGGGAGAAAGAGAATCAACTTCAGCGTCAACTCCTTTGTCGCCCATCAGTGCATCAGTAGCAATGCCTCCTTCAGGACACCGTAACAGGACGAGACGCAGAAGAGCGTAGGTCGTGGGCTGTCGAGTCCCTGGAGAAAAGGAGTGGATGTGGAGGGTCAGTATAGGATCCAGCCCCCCTGGGCCTGGAACCATGCAGCAGGAACTGCTGAGACTGGCCTGGCCCGGCATCCCACCTTGGCCCCACTGTCCAGATTAGGAACAATACACCCTGCAAGAAAGCTGGCGGTTAGGACTGGCGTAATAGTTGCTTGGAGCATCAGGTGCTGGTCTCAAAACGCTGAGCAGGGTCAGGCCTGTTTAATACTTGGAAAACCCAGAACTGTAAGCTAGACTGAGGAGCCTCCAAAAAGAGATGGTAGTGGCAAGCCAAGTCTGGAGCAGGATTTGAAGACTTTCCTTTACCTTCCACTTCAGTGAGGTGCCATCATAAGTTTTGTACCCATGGTCTGGGAATTTGCATTCCCAACATGCTTGGAAGGCAGCAAGTTGGAGGAAACTGTTTTAGGAGGAGGAAACCATAGCTCAGTGGTGCAGAACTCTGAGGTTTCAGGAGAACATGTGCTCCTTGACCATCTTGGGCAGGTCTCCTACAACAATTTCAAAAGTTGCAACACAATTGGAACATTTAATGTGACTGGAAGGTGGGTGGGGGGAATAACTGAATACAACAAAGAGCAATCCTACTCAATTTGAATTATATTTACACCAAATCAAGTCAATTTAATATTTTGGGGTTTTTTAAACATATCCTGATGAAGCTAAGTGTCCTTTCTGCCAGCCAAACAGCATGTTTGTCCATGTCAAGCCTTGCAAGACTGGTAAACTCAGCAAACAAGAACCACCTGTATTTCTAGCCACTAGCAAAGATCTTTATTGCTAGTAGGATAAGGTACTGAACTAATCTTGAAAGTTTGCTCAAGAAATTCTCAAGGTCAATTTATATATATATAGTGTATTGTGGCAGAAACACTCTGAGTCTCTTTCTCTTGCTTCCCCCCTTTCCTGGGTTGAGGTGTCTTTTTTGCAACAAACTGGTTTCCTCCTGTGCATTACTAGGGCCTACTACACATCCCATCATGCTTCATTTCCTTAGCATGGCTCTTGGTTTAGTCTGTAGCCTTACTGCTTGCAGCTTACACTTTGAACCAAGAGCTTGCAATGTCAGGGGTGTTTCTTACCCTTGCTTTTTGACAAACTGCATACAAAGAGAATCTGGATCTGGCCAGCAAGGTCAAATATTCTGTCATGCTAGGAATGTTCAAACTACAGGTGGGACACAGCTGAATTTCTCCACCAAATCTGTGGGCAGAAGAATTCTCCTCCAGAAGAAATAGGACTTTTCCATCCATTACTAGCCCTGAATGTAGCTCCTGTAGGGACCTTGAGGTAGGAGTTCCCTCCAGATGTCTTCCTTGGGATGTAACTGAAGCGTGGGAAGGCTGGGAGGTCATAGACCGCTGAAGAGAGGATTGGACAACGAAAAACAGGACATTCACACACTTTCATTGGTCACCTTATCACAATGTAAGAGCAAGAACACCACACTCAAGAGAATGTCTCCAAAATTCTCTTCTCCCTTGGAATAATTTCTAAAGCAAAACTTCTTTCATCAAAGTCAATGAGATCTGGCAGAAGAAAAAATGCAGGAGATTTTTTTTTAAAGATCAGCCCACCTACTTTCCCCTTGAAACTCAATTGAGCAGCCTCTCCCTTCACTGCAGATCCCTCCAAACTATTAAAGGTTTTCAGTTTTCCACCTCACATGTTTTGGGGAAACAGAAGCCCAAGTTAGAAGGAACGTTTCAGAAAAGCTAAAAAGGCACTCACTCATCTGTGTCTTTCTTGCTTTCCTCAATCTGCGCAATTGACTCGGATCGGAGGCGGTTGGTCACTTCGTATGTGCGTAAAGTGACTCCAAATATGTCTTCGTGGTATCGGTTGTCGTCCTGCAAAATGATGTGTGTGTGTGAATTGAGAGAGAGACAAGGAGGACAGAAATCAGGAAAGGTCTGGTAGCACCTTTTCTGACTAACAAGTTTTATTAAGGCCAAAGGCTAGAGCTCACCAAAGCTTAGACCCTTAAATAAAAATTGTTCGCCTAGAAAGGTGCTACCAGACTCCTCCTGATATTTGGCCACTATAGGCTAACATGGCTCTCCTCCTACAAGGAAGACAGAAAATCTATGCTCAATTACATTTCTGCAGAGTGCAAGAGAGAGATTGGGAAAAAAAAGAGAAGAAGGTATGCAAACACTCTCCCATTTTTAACCTTTATTTTACCCTGTTTCCATTTCCCTCTACTTCCACTGCTGTAACCGCACGTATGAAATATTTGATGGTTAGCTTTTGGAAGGCAAGACCCTGCCTCTGGTAGATGGAGAAGGTTGCTACACGCAATGGGAACAGCAGCTCACCCTCAGCTTGCTGATGAACGCGACGCCTTCCTCTGCGGTCAGCTTCCCCTGCTCCCTAACAATACTTTGGATGGTCTTGAGAACATCTCCAGCCATGGTGACATCACCACACACATAGACATGGCCACCCTCCTCCTTCAGGGCTTTGTAGAGTAAGCTGGCCAATTGCTCCTGCAGGATGTCCTGCACGTATTTCTATAAAAAGGAAAAAGAGAAGAATTTTGTAGCACATTGGGAAAGAGGATAGGTGGTGGCCCTTGGGCCACAGTGTCTGCTGTATTAGTAGGGAAGCAAAAAAAGCTTTTTATAGCTTACTGGGAAGTATGAACTGCCTGGAATTTCATAGGACAGTTCCATTTGGGGTGGGGGTGGTGGACAGGCTCAATTTTAGCCGCCTGAAACAGAGGGTCAATTTCAGGGGGAGAGAATTTGACAAGTATTATTCCTTCTGCCATCTTACTAAGTCGAGAACATACAAAAGCAGCTGAGTAGAGAAATTACATTGCTTCCCCAGATGAATTTGTTCGCCAGATGTGGGAAGCAAGTGGCTGATTTCTAAAAGAAGGTCCCTCTGGCAATACCACCATTCCAAGTATATGGTGGCATTCTTTATTTTAAGAAGACAGGTTCAATATTCCCTTAGGGAATCGTCAGGGGAATCTGCTTGGGGTGGGCTGCGGACAAGGTGGGGTGAATTACCTTTGGTTTATCTGGTTCACGAGAATAGGCTGTGAACAGCTCTTTGAAGACCCCATTGCTCTTGGCCAGCAACGTCTCATCTTTGTAAATGTGATCAATCTTGGACTGTCGGCAACCAAAGACCAGTGTCATGGGACACGGATTCAGCCCTAGTGAGAAGGGGAGATTGGGAGAAGAAGGGTTTTTTTTCCTACCAGTCATCCCAGTGGCATAGATAAGAACCAAGTCCACATTTTTACCATGAAGGGTTAAAGAGATGACCATCTAACCCAGTCGGTATATTGATTCCACGCTGGCTTGGTTCATACAGTCCTCTAAACCCAGGTTAACAAAACACAATAGCTACCTCATATCACGTATGTTGCCTGAACAAATAAATCAGGTTACAGCTCACAGTGATAACCAGGTTTATAAAAACTGTTAAGGCAATAGTTGGGTTCCCACAACACTGTGACCTACAAGCTATCAAATCTCATTTTAGCTTAGCCTACCATGTTATACAAACTCAACTAATGTTCTGGAGAACCCCAATGATCAATCTTTCCTGGCAGTACACAGGTCTTTATCCATGAGATACAACAACTAAAATCAGATCCAAACACTCTTCAGATTATGCTCCAGAATCACACACAAAGAAGAAAGAGAGATCCAAAGAGGATCGCTCTTTTAGCTAACTGATCGCGGAGCAGATGTGTGCCAGAATATATCCCCCCCCTGAAATTAGAATCATTTGCTACTTTTGCATGACTATCCCCCCCCCCCACTTCCCCAAGACCAGACCAACCTTTATATTTGAGATCAAAGAGCCGCTGTTGCCAGAAGCTCCGAAAAGGTGCAATTCCAGTCCCAGGGCCAATCAGAACACAGGGGACCTGGGGATCTTGCGGCATGTGAAATCCAGGCGCTCTGGAGAAAGATAAGAGGAGTTTCACTGTCATCACACAACTTTGCTTCCATCTTCCTGCATCAGGAAGTCATGAAAGGTAGACTACTCTGGAGAGAGAAAATGCTTCCGCTTGGCGCTGCTGAGAAGATTAGAGGAAAACTATGTTCCAGTCTGTGGGATCTTTTTTGGGGGGCGGGGAGGTGCCTTCAAGTCAGTCTTGACTCCTGGAGACTGCCTGGCAAGTCCCTGCAGTTTTCTTGGCAACCTTTTTGGAAGGTTTTGGAACCTTTTTTGCTCTAAGAAAAACAAGTTGAAGAAATACAACAAAGGAAAGTCATTGTTGATTCTTGGCGATTGCCTGGACTAGTCCCTGCAGTTTTCTTGACAAATTTTTCAGAAGTGGTTTGCCCTGGCCTTCTTCTTCCCAGGGCTGAGAGAGAGGGACTGGCCCAGGGTCTCCCAGCTGGCTTCGTACCCAAGGCAGGACTAGAACTCCTGGTCTCCCGGTCTCCTCCAAACTGGCTGTCTTGTGGGATCTAGTTGCACAAAAATCCCAAGATCATTTGGGATCTTGTTTCGTTCAGAGTAACTGAAAATCTATGTATGCTTTTCTTAGGAGTCTTGCTGTGCGCAGTGGAGTTTACTCCCACATAGCCGTGCATGAGATTACAATCCTAAATCAGTCCAGTTTTATGGGCTTTAGAGAATCCGGAAGCGGCTATTCTATTTTAATCCAAAGTAAACCGTTTAATAGCCATCCAATCATTGCATGAACGCACCCGGGGAAAGGGAGCTCCCAGTATCCCTAGGGAATTGGTTCCACTGTCAAAACTTCCTAACGTACAGCCAAAATCTGCCTTTGTAATTTAAGACCATTATTATGTACCCTTGTGCCCACTTGTGGCACCTTTATAGGTACTGGAAGAGGGCTAGGAGCTGCTTAAAAATGACACAAAAATAAAACAGAATAATTCACCGAAAAAAATAACCAAACCTCAAAACGCAATAACATCCTTTTCAAGGCTAAACATACCCAATTCCTCCAATCCCTCTTCGAAGGATATAGAACATCCTCCCTCCTGAGTTTAGGAGGGCCCTGACCCTTTTGGCTGTTCAGAAGGCCTTGAAGACCTGTGTGAAGGGCCCCGTTTCATGGTTGTGCTGACACCGACGATTTTTAAAGATCTCTTGGCTGTATTTATATTTAATTTTCTGTATTGTTTTAATTGCTTGATTGTTTTTATTACCGTTAGCCATTCAGAGTCACTGGTCTG